ATCTTTTCCATGCATTTGAAAATAAACTTAGAAACTTGGAATCCGCCTGGTTCCTGTAACTTGGCAAAGGTGATCAGACAATACGGTGCCACGTGTACCCACCCCATTCACACCAGCCGCTATACAAACAGATGTGGCCATCCGCTTCCACCAAGAGGACAGCCCCAGGAACCCTCTTCCACACTGTCCTATGGGGTTGGGGGTTTATAGGAGTTGGCATCAACTCAACAGCCAAGGCCTGGTTTTCATTTGTTTCTTTATTAGAGCAGATTATTCCACAGGGAAGCAGATACCACATGGCTCAGGTCCCACCATGTGAAACCTAGCATCGATATTCCTGGGCCCTCTACGCTGTGAGTCCCAACCTGTCCATCCGCTCAGGATGCCCTCCGCAGACTTCCAGGGTGCTTTGCTCCCATATACTGAAATAGCACTGGCTGAGCTCAGGGAAATGAGTAAAATAATGTCAATTCACTGGAGGCAAAAGAGTACAAAATGTCTCTCAGAATTCATCGAGATAATGACAAAATCAGAGAGAAAAAGAAATTAATGCAACTCAACAGTATTCAGGAAAATGAATGTGATTCCTGTCAAAAAATGTAACGCTCCAAAGTCATTTAGTGTGATTGGCAGCATCAAATATAGGGAAAATGGATTTCTATTTCAAGAGGCAGTTGGTTGTTTTCCAAGAGCCTAGGTTCCTAGTGTCCCTCCTGTGCACCAGATGTCTACCCCCAGGCTTGGAAACACCTCACAAACCCTCACAAGGGAGCTGCTGGCACCCCGCTGCTACAGTGATCCATCTGTGGAGTACACAGAAGACCACAAAATGAAAGAATTTTTTAAAACCTGTTGTTTATGAATCATTTCACTTCAAGTGAAACAATGAGACTCAGGTGCCCTACCCTGGGGACGGCAAAGGTGACTAAAACTAAGAAGCCGGCAAGTCAAAGTGGTTTATTTGTAAAAGGCAAGCGAGGGACGCTCATTTTTGTGGGCTGGCAGCCAAACAGAAATTAATAATTTTTACATGCTACAAAAACAAAACAAAAGTAGATCATGAACCCAAATAAAAAGCACGAAAACCAGATAAACCCATTTCTTAGTTTTTATTTCAAAACAAAGGTCTAATGTGCAAGTTATCATATATGAGACACAAAGTACTAAAAGAAAACAGAGATTAGAAAAAATTCATTTAAGGCTCATGCATTTATCCCTCATAAAGGTAATAACAGGTATACAAAGATAGCAGAATAAAATCTCTTTTCTTCCTAGAATTCTTAATACTAAAAACTACATGTATAGGACATCCTGAAGAAAAACTAGAACGCTTAGCTCTTTCACCTTTTCCTAAGATTCACATAAAGTATTTGCTATACATCTATGATCACATATGTATGCATAACTAGATAGATAAATAATCAGTTTTCTATGGGGTTCAAAGCACAGAGTTAGGCTGGAACCTGAATCCTGGCTTAAGAGTTGATAGCTCTGAAAGCTCTTATGCCTCTGAATTAATGTGAATTAATCATTGAGTTATGTACTGCATTACTTCATTGGTTCTTGTTACTGATTTCATAGGTGAAGCAGCTGAGGCAGAGGTGAACGAAGACATCTGCCCAGAGCTTCATAGCTAAAGCAGAATTTGACTTTAGATCTGTCTAGTTCCACAGCCCAGGCTCTATCTTAGTAGTTCCTGTCCCCACAGGACTTCCTACATACTATTCTTTATCAAGTCATATTTAAATTGCCTTTTTCCTCATCTTTTGCTCTCACAATAAACTATGTGAGGCCAGGGATCAGCTTCTATTCATCTATTCTTTCATTCATCAACCCATCCATCCATCTTCCCATCTACTCAGGCAGATTTCAAAGCTTATTAGATACTGGGGTATCTCCTGGAGAACAGACAGCACCCCTGATCATATGAAGTTAAAAGTCTAATAAAATGGCAGCTAATCATAGAAACATATATCTAACTATCCACTTCTATTTATGGAGAAGGACAAGCAGTATGTTAAAAAGGGCATAAGCAGTGCGCCTCATTTAGTTGGGAAAAATCAGAAGCCTCACTGAAGAGGGCAGTTTCACCAGAGATGAGAGCAACTAGGCCAAGAGACAGGAATTGAAGCCAATTGTGCATAGGACCACAGAAGGAGCACGAGTCTGCCACATGAGGAAAGGGAGGGGCCTGTGTAGCTGACAAACTGTGAGGACAGAGTGGTACACACTGAGACAGGGAGAGGAGGGAAGAAGCAAGCACATAAGAGTGAACATAATTTGAGGGATAAGTCAGTTCAATGGGAAATGCTGATTTTTAGAAAGAACACTAGCTGTGGTGTGGAGTTCAGACTGGAAACAGGAAGTAGAAGAAGCTGGGAAATCCAGTTGAGAGTTCTCATAATAAATGAGGAGCGGTGCACCGGTGGCTTGGACAGAAGGGTAGCAGAGGTGGTGTGCAGAAATGTACAAAATCAAGGTATATCACATGCCCCTATCACACTGCCTGACAATAACACAAATTCAAAAGATTGTTGTTTGAATCAATGAGTGAATCCTCAGGCAGAGCTGCGGCTGTTTCTCAGGCATCTTACTGACCCACAGAAGCATGGTCTCCCTCTGAGCAACATAGCATCCAGCAGGTGCCGAGGAGGAGCAAAGCGTGTGTAGATGACTTAATAAATGCACAAACTAGCAGGCAAGACTTTATTTATGAAAACCTCTTGATGTGTAAATGTAGCATTGTGAAACAAAATGCCTCTCCCATCCTGACAATGGAAGATTGCAGAAGCTAGCTATCTTTCTGCTATGTGAAGTCCCAAGCTTGTTAGAGAAATGTATTATTTAAAAACGCCTAGAGCTGCGCTGCTAGAAACACAGTAAAACACTAAGGGTGCTGAGAGAAAGCACTTTCCTTTAAAAACAAAGGAAGGAAGAAAGAAAAAGCTGTGCTTGGAGAATTTATATTCCTTACTCTGTTTTCTGCTTTAAAAAACATGGTCTCTATCAAGACTTCTTACAACAAAATATTTTTATTATCTATTAGTAACAGATTCAGATGTAGAGTTAAAATATTTTCTTATAGTCTAATAAAACCACAAGGTCAGAACAAGAATGTCTCTCGTATGTTACCGAATAACTTATAGCTTTTGTCCATAAGATTTAATTTGCTAAAACCACGAAACTAAAACCACTGGGAAAAAAAACAGTTGGACTACCTTAAGAGAATGTAAGAATGAGGGAATCTCTGGATACAGTCAACATTCAACATAAAATCATTAATCCCAACATGCCTCATGTTTTCCCATCCTTAAAAAAGTCCAATAGCATTAACAACAAAGAGCTAGATAGGCTTACTTAGGTTAGGCAACTCCTGTTCTCAAGTAGGACTAAATTAAACCTTGGATAACTTCACAATAAAGAAATCTTCAAACATAAGTGATTTAAAGAGTACACCGCCTAGTTCAAGTGTTTGCAGTTCAAATAAAGCTTTATATAGTTAGGTCTACATGGAAAAAGAAGGCTTTTAAGCAAGCAATTCTGTTCCTTGGTTCAGCCAAGTGTCTTGCTGAGATAGCTTTGTTCAATAGGCCAATCAACAGTCAGTATCCCCACCAATTCTTCTTAAGTCTCATGGACAGGTGACAGTTCAAGGTGACAGGTCAAGAGAATAAGGGAGCTGGGTTGGGCTTCTATGTCAGAAGCTTTAAAAACTAAAGGACGAAACATAAGTCACACCTCCTTACATCTGGTAGGGAACCACTTTCCACTATACTGAAAATACAACTTTTTAAGTCACTCTCTGTACCTTGAGAATGTCTTTGAAATCTTGAAAATGCTTTCTTTGAAGAACCAGAGAGAGAGCCTCAAATAATGCATTGACACTATTACTCTAAGAACAATTTTTAAAAATGTTGAGGATCAGAGCTGACAATTTAGAAGATATTTTATTAAGTTTACTGAGATTTAAGGCTGAATGCCACAGAGGAAAAATGTTTTCTATGTTCTTTATTATGCAAAAAACCAGCATTATATATTATCAGCTAAAGTTCACATTTAAATATGTTGCAAACAAATCATTAGTATCTTAAGTCACATAAACAGAAAAATGTACAAGTGTAATTTTACACCATTCTGAAAGTTTTGTAATTTTATAGTATCCATTTGCATAATTTAAAAATGTAAAATTTTTTTCTTTCTTTCTCTTAAAGTTTTCATCAGTGCATCTAGTGCAACATTATCTTGATAAACAGGAAAAGCCATCAATTCTAACAGGGAAAAGTTGGAACCTTGACATTAGACACCTAATGAACTGCAATGGAAAATTACAAAATAGCATATTTTATATGTAATTTACTTAAATTATACACATTTTCTAATGAAATAAAATCTTTAAACAGTATTCTACTCTATGTGAATCTATGAACACACTGAATGATTATTTTCATTCTCAGTATCATGTATCAGACAAGACAGCTCAACTGAGCTATACAGTCTCATTTTTGCTATACAATCTGTTCACAGGCAAGACCATTTATATGCTAAGCCTTCTATATGCAAATAGAAGTGACCGATATACTGAAACTAAAGTAAATATCATTAAAATGATATATTTCCATCCATTTTAATCCAAACAAAGTTTTGAGTAACAGTGTAAAGTTTTGAGTAACTGTAAAATATAACATCACCCTTCATTTCAACCCAAATCTCAAACCTCAGGACTATTTATTTCTTCAAATTGTTGGCTATTTATTGTCAAAATTATAATCCTCTGGTATGTGCTTTAACAGATGAAATTAGTTTTCTTTCCCTAGGGAAATGTCAGACTATACTAATATCCAAGAAATACGATTAAATTAGTTTAATTACTTCATGTCGATTTGATAAGTCACTGCTCTTTAATGTAAAAACTGCCACTTGTAATTAATGACTACTGGTACTACTTCAATTGATCAAATGTCTAATACACATAAAACATTCAAAGAAACTCTATATCTTACAGCAATTCAGCGGAGAAGTCCTGTCCCAGGGGTACATAAATCTGTAGCACAAGAAACCTCTGGATCAGTCCAACTGGAAAGAGAAGGGAGAAATGTACATACTATGTATGTGTACATACAAACAAACACAATCACATGCCAACAGCAAGCTGAAGCTTTTACATTTCAGTAATGTATAAAACTGCCAGGACTTCCAACCTGACTACGAAATCAAAAGAAATTCTCACAACAAATGCTAACTTTTAAAATCCCATCTATAGCCTTAGTAAAATTTTTATGAAAATTTTAAACAATAATAATTTTTATTTACTGCTTTTATTAGGTTGCAAGAGAATGCACATTTAGAGCCGTATTCAACAAAGACATATAAAATTGAACTATAGATTGCCATCAAGGAAACCATAAAAGCATGTGGCAATTCTTTTTATTCACTGACAGTTTTAACTGTACTAAACAACTTAATAAAAAACAATAGCTCAAGAAAAACAATTCTAATTATGACAACCCTAACTGAAGCCTTCATGAGCCATATTTAATTCATACAGCTTTAAATGTGTCCACATTGAGAGAGACGAAGGAACACGTTCTTGTTTATAATGCCCATTGTCAACTGAACCGATGTTTATTTAATTCAATACTCACTAATTAAAGAACTGATAACTTTTATTTCTCATTTATCGGTTTCATCTGCTTTAGAAATACTTGCAGAAAAACCCATCCCTGTAGCACTTTTGAGAGCTGAAGGCTACAAGTGCTTCAAAAATCAATTGATTTTATCTTACCCATGCCAGACCCATTCACTTAATGCCTTTCCTCTTAGGTTTTGAACTTTTTATTTGATCTCTCAATTATGCTGCTCTTCACAGACGTTTTAGTATCACTACTTCCTAAAAACATGCCTTTAAGGAACTTCCCCCTCCTGGAGTAGGACTTGGGCGCAAGAAACAGAAATGCCTTAGTGTATCTGTGACTCTCCTACAAATCTATTTGTGCAGGCCGACACATGGGTAAACAATCTTAAGGAAGCCAACTAGCCTAAAAAGCAACTCATTTTCTGTCTATTTTGACTTAGTGGGCAGTATTTTTGGACTGTCTTTGTTATATAAGGACCTTCTTCTGGTTCATAATTCCTATGGGGAGCTTGTTTCACAGCATTACTAAGCAACTTCAGTTCCTATGTTTAATCATAAATTTAGTTCTAAACAATAAACTGATTTGATAAAATTTGCTTAATATTTTTTAATCAACGCATACAGCAATAGCTTTTACTGAGGAGTAATAATACACTGCTCCAAAGAATCTAAAAATAAGGGCCTTATGGGGCCTGACCCTAAAAAAGTTTCTAGAAATCTAATTCTACCATATTTATGGGAAAAGCGAGTGAGGCATCCAATCAGAGTATGGGACTACAAAATCAAACCTGCAAGATATCAAAATAAGCCCAATCTAAGTATACCATCATCAATCGATCTCTTCCACCCATCTTCCATCGATTGCCTCAGTCGTGTTTTTCCACTGCACAATGGCTTGGGTAAATACAGTTGAGTGAGCACCAGGATAAATAAAATCACAATCTTTAAAAAAAGCTCCCTAGTTTGTTACAAATCTCACTGAATCAGCACTGTTCTTTGCAAATATAAAAGCGACACAGATAAGGCTTTTTTGTATGAACAATTTTAGATATGAACGATCCCTGTCCTTAAAAAAAGAAAGCTTTATAGGTCTACTTTCTCAAATATAGAAGACCTAGTTTTCGCAGGGCTTCATTTCTATGATTAAAGAAAGTCTGACAATACCATATGGTGATGATCTGACAAAGGAAAAAGTACTTTAATAATGTCTGACATACACTGATCGTGTGGGTCAGAAATGCTAAACAGACTTATAGTAATATCTTTTCCAGTTGCCTTGAAATTTTTAACTGACTTTCATGTCTACATTATATTTAAAATCTCCCTCTTTAAGTAATGATGAAAGTAGAACTATTAGTCAAAAAATGTCCATCAAGTACATAAAATTCATTTTAAAAGTAGCCTTTTGACTGAAGTATGAAGGTTTCTGCAGTTTTACAACCTACTCTGTGCCTGAAACTCATGAATTTTTAAGGGGTCAGGCCTTTTTTCTTTTGAGGATTTTAAAACACATTTAACTGGCAAATGTGCTTTTTTTAGCACTAGGTCTTAAAACAACGGTTTTACAGTTGTTTCATTAGAGCAAGTTAAGTACTAAGAATATATTTCATAGTAGCAATTCCGGAGACTTTACCATCAACATTAAGAAGTAACGCAAAATGTTTCTACGTTTAAGATATAGTCTCATCACTGATTTTAATACGTGTTCACTTTAAAAGTCCAAGAAAGAAGGACCAATGGAAACGGGGAGCCTGGGAAGAAAATGGGAAAAGTGCTATTCCATTGAGGGATTACAACGAACGCTATGAAATAAAATGTGTGTATGTTGTTAGATGGAAAACTAATTTTCTCGGTACACTTTCACCCAAACCACAATAAAAATGAAGAATCTGTGGAAAGATGGGTGGGGGGGAGAGGTGTTGCCGTATAAAATGAGATTTTCCATCTCATACATATTCTATTAGTGTTATGTGGTCCAGAGAGTTAAGATGAGACTATAGGACAGCCATCTTTTACAAGTGCCCTGAGAACTGGTGACTAAAGTGACCCCGTAGTTCCTACCGCAGCCCAGGCACAATCAGTACACTGATATGCACCACAGAAAACAGGGGGTAGTTTTGCCTTCATTATGGGTTATTCCATTCTGCTTGGAGGAAGTAGAAAATCCCTCTAGGCCCCTTTCTTTTTGATCTATAATACGGGGCTAATAAGTTAAAGCTTGTAGGCGTTAAATCAGGTCCTTCAACAACAGTTCATTCAGCACCTACTTTGTGCGAGACTAAAGTGCTAGGGGGCATTGCAGGAAATAAGACAGACATGGTCTCTGCCCTCTTGGAACCGATGTTCTAGTTCCATGAAGTCTTCAGGGTGCTATGAACATATATAACCCTGTGTCCTTGGGGTTATGGGGATGATGAATGAAGGCTTTCTTGAGGAAACAATCCTGGAACTTAGCTGGGAAGAATAAGCAAGAATTGACTAGGCAAGGAAAGCAGAGAAACAACAGAGGAACACATATTCCGGACAGAGGGAATACTCCATTGGTAATGGAAAGAGATGTGGCAGACGGGCTGAGCTTAATGGCCTACAGGGCTGGAAGGACAAACAGAAGGGGAAGCAGCAGAGGTCAGTCTTGTAAAACAGCCAGAGACACAATCGTGCAGGGTCATATGAAGCACAAAGGTCTGATTCTAAAGTCAATGGGATGCCACTCCTGTATTCATCCATTTAGTCTATAAACATTTATTAAATGTCTTCCATATACCAGCCACTATTCTAGGTGAACAAAATACACTAAATTCTCTGGTGGTGGAACTTCCTGATGATGGTGAAAAGACGATAAATACACACAGTATGCCTAATAAATGTACAGCATGCTAGGAGGGGGGAAAGCAGAGAACAGTCAAACGGATCAAGAATAGCAAGAGGCTCTACAAAGTGGGTCTTAGTTTGAGGGACAGGCCAGGATGGGCCTCCCTGAGACTATCACACTCTCACAGACTTGAAGGAGTGAGAGTGATCCAGTAGCCATCTAGAGGAAGAAAGCTCTAGACCAGGGGTCCTCAAACGTTTTAAACAGGGGGCCAGTTCACGGTCCCTCAGACCCATTGGAGGGCCAGACTATAGTTTAAAAAAAAACTATGAACAAATTCCTATGCACACTGCACATATCTCATTTTGAAGTAAAAAAACTAACGGGGCAAACACACCCGGCAGGCTGGATAATTGTCCTCAGCGGGCCACATGTGGCCCGCGGGCTGTAGTTTGAGGACACCTGCTCTAGTCAGTGAGCAGAACTAGTGCACAGGTGCAAAGGCCACGTGTGAAAACAGCAATGAGACCTCTGTGATGGGAGCAGAGTGAGCAGGAAAAGAATCAGAGGTGTTGAGGTCTGGCAGTTCACAAGGCATCAGATACTGCAAGGTCTTATAGATCTTTCATTTTCACTAGGAAGATGACAGGTGTTTTCAGTAGTGGAGCAGCAGGATCTCCTCTATAACTTAGAAGGATCCTTCTGGCTGCCAGGTTGAAAATAGACTTAGGGAGTGAGGTAGTTAGTTTATTGTGCCAACCTGGCTGATAAACACATGTGGGATTATGAAGGGTGGAGGGATAAATGGCTGTGAGCCTTGCCTTTCTAGTTCTCGGGTCTCTTGTTCTTTGATGGTTGGACCAGGTTGCAGCTGCCTTAGCCAGTTCCCTGCTTTAGCTGACAAGACTTACTTCCTGCAAGACATCCCTGAGGAGAAGCCGCATGGACCTACCCGGATGCAGCCCTGGGTGCTAGAACACCCGTGTGGAGACCCCTGCCAGGGCTGAGATGTTCACACATTCACTGATTCGGCTTTCCTCCTGCAGTCGGCATCATTGCATCTGTTTTGTGAGATGGAGGAGGGCTTTGTGGATTGGTGTTGGAATATGGGTTAATGGGTTAATGTTGGACTTATGGGCTTGGGCAGCACTGGGTTGGGATGTTTTCTTGATGCGCACTTAACCTTTATATAAAACTCTCTCTTATATTTGAGTTTCTGTGGATTTGTTTCTCTAAAGTACCCAGACTAACATAGGGAGGCAAAGTCCGAAACAGGGAGGCTAACTCGAAGACGATCTTAGTAATTCTGGTAGATAACAATGGTGGCTTGCGTCAGCATGGAAAGGGGCAAAAATGTGGTCAAAAGATCTTCAATGACCGATTGAAAGAGGGAAGGGCAGGGGTGGAGAGGAATCTAAAAGTTGCTGGTCTCCACAGTTGAAAAGATAAGTTGTTTACAACTGAGATGGAGCAGTGTGCAAGAGGGGAAGGGACACATTTTAGGAGTAAAGACCAGGAGTTCCGTTTTAGATAGACTATATTTCAGCTATCCACGAAGACATGTCACCTAGGCAGCTGAATATACAAGAGAGACGACTGAGCTGGAAATGTAAATCTGGGAGTTGGACAGAGATGGTATTGAAAGCCAAGGCACTAGAGCTGATAACCACAGGAATAAACGTAGACAGAGGGCTAAGGACTGAGTCTAGGACCTGCAGCATTAGTTGGGGTGGGGAGTGGAGGAAGAACCAAGAGAGATACTAAGGAGAAAGACACTAAGAAGGAATGCCAGCGAGTTAGGAAGGACAGTCAGGAGCGTGGAACATCTCAGAAGAAGAAAGTGTACTAAATGTACTGAGAGAGGGATGCCAGCATTCTCAAACACTGCTACTACTTTCAGTAGGATGAGCACTGGGAAACAGTGCTGGAATTAGGAATAGAGAACTCACTGGTGACCTTGCTCGCCAGCACACTTCCATTACAGTGGTGGGGTCAAAGTCATCAGGGCATTTTAGAGAGGCAGTCATGACGAGATTTATTTTTAACAAGAACACTGCAGTGGGGACAGGGAGAGCCTCGGGGGAAGCTCATGAAGATGACCTATCAGCTGAAACTGATACGTGCACAGGCCTCGGAGACACTGATCCCCAGAGACAGACCCTTGGACTGTGATGCCACAGTGGTTTCAAACCTGAACTCTGAGCAGCCAATCCTAGGGGAGGATCTTCCACATGGTAGGTGTTTATACATGATGGAGCAGCTTCCCATAATCCATCCCAGGGTGAAGACTAGCAGGATCTACTTACTTGGCTGGTTAATGATTTACCTGCATCTCATTAGCAAGGCTGGCTGAGTTACAGTGAGAAATTATAACTCAAAATTTAACAACGCCCTCAAGTTTCTCAGTGTGGCAAATGTAACAAACTTGGTGAGCACTGACTGAATACTAGAAACCAAGGCAGAGAGTTCAAGTTGAAAAGGTGAGATTCTGCCCCTCTAGGAGTGCACCATGTAACACTTTTCTCTTTGATGAGGTGCTCAGTGAAGGCATTTGTTGTTGTTGTTTTCATTTTTCCTTTTGACTTTTCTAGCAATTCTGAAAACTTAAGTAAATCCAGAAATATTTTATATGTGAAGTGTAATGTACTTGATTTCATTGTTAAACTTTCTTCATAAGTACCTAATAGAGTTCAGGATCCACATGGGGTACCTTGGGTCAAGTTTGCATGAACAAAGTGGATGTCTACTCTTAAAATAGGAATACATCATGGTAATTGAACTTAATTTAGAAATGCTAATTCAAAGTCAATTCTCAATTCTAGCTATGTCATTTCATTTGAAATTAACCATAACATTTTCACACAGAGCAAAGTACTTCATACAAGTAAAAATAATTAAATTTCTGTGATCAACGATTCCAAATAATCTCAAAGGCACTGGTATCGATTGAACTTTTAAAACAGTTTTGTTTGTTTTGATTGTTACAGTGCTCTATAGGTTTCAGAACAGCCAGATTCATTCATGATCACAGGACATTGTATAAGAAATACATTAAAAGAGTATTTTCTTTCTTCCAATTAAAATCACCACCCTTCCACTTCAAAGAGCAATTATAAAACATTAAACTTAGTTTATTCCTAAAATAACCAAAAATTTAAGTATGAAGTAAAGAGGAATGTGTCTGTAACAACGACCTTGGGAAGGGAGGAATCTTTCTCAAGTTGGTCTAAGGAAGGTTACTGGAAGCGATTTGATTTTGTCAATAATGTAGTAGTGGCATAGACAACATAATGTGCAAGTACCAGTTGCTACCAAGGCTGTTCTGACTCACAGCAGCCTTCTATGTGTAAGCACAGAACTGTGCTCCAAAGGATTTCTCAATGTCTGAGTTTTGTTTTTGAAAGATCACCAAACCTTTTTTCAGAAGCATCTCTATCTGGGTGG